CTCCCCTCCCCCTCCCCCTCCTCCTAATAAGTACTTAGGAGAAGGAATTTACCTAAGGGTTTGCTTTGCTTGTGATGGTCCCCTTGAGCATTTCTCAAGAGGGTGTGTTGGATTCCCCGAGCTTTTCCATGGGGATGAATTGAGCCAGCGTCTGTAGTCCCAGCTGCCACAGGCCGGAGACTACTTTGGGAAGAATGTGTTAAGCAGCACTGTTATCTGCACGTACCAGACTATTCCTCCCGCAGTTCAGTGAACTTAAGTGAATATATCTCTACAGCTATGTCCTGATATCATGCCGCCTACCTTGAGATGATAATGTAAGAGCGTTTCAGCAGGAAAAAACCCCTATTTTGGATCTTCGGTGGTCCTGCATTAGCTACAGACCACTACATAACGAAATGTTCTTAGGTGAAAAGGAAGACAGTAGTTGTTTTGGGGCCACTACGAGGCTCACATTGGTAATGCTCATGTTATGCAGTATGTCCGCAAATCCCAGGTAAGGGGTTCTGTCCCATAAAACGAAACACAGTGTGGGATGAAACACAGGTCAGAATTTATTGAAAAACATTGGGTTAAAACAATAAAGCATTAAAGTACAAGAAGTTCTTGCTTTGAGATGCTAAGAGTGATAACAAAGTGATTATGAAAAGAAGAAAGCAGGGTACAGGAAACATGAGAATGTTGAAGCAATGTGAAGGTTATTGATCAGTGGCAGAAACCTATGGGAAAGCTTTGAGGATCTTTTTTTGCAAGTTAGAGAAGAAAGGAGAGGTCTTGACTGATGAGCCAAGGCTGAGGCCACATCTTTGAATTGAGGACAGAAAAAGATGCTCTTTAATCCCCAAGACCAGGACAAAAAAAAAAAAAAAGTGAGGCTGAAGTACTCTGGACACTCTGGAGCTGATTCCTGAGGGTTTCCAAATAAAGTCAGGTAACAGACATTTTGGTGAGTGCACGGTGGCTTTGGAAGTGAATTTGTCCCTAAGGAGGTCAGTCATTGGGCAGCGCTTTTTGTGTGTAGATGGTAGTCCTTCGAGGACTTGGTCAGCAGCTGCAGGGCTGGCAGCAGCTGGATCCGAAGCTCTCGGGGAGGCTCCCAGTCAGGCAGACGCACGTGGGGAGGTAGCAGGTTCTGGTGCAGATCACGGGTCCAGAGCAGGCTGGCTGGACACAGATGCTGGGCTGGCAGCAGCTGGGTTGGCAACAGCTGGGCTGGCAGCAGCTGGGCTGGCAGCTGGGCTGGCAGCAGCTAGTTTGGCCACAGGAGCTGGACTCACAGCAGCTGGGCTGGCAACAGGGCTGGCAGCAGCTGGACACACAGCACCTGGGCTGGCAGGTAGGGGTGCTGTAGCAGCTGGTCACACAGGTGGGCTTGAAGCAGGTCCTGCAGCAGGTGGTTTGGCAGCAGGTTGGGCGGCAGCAGGGCTGGCAGCAGCTGGAGCCACAGCTGGTTTGGCCACAGCAGCTGGGCTGGCAGCAGGGGGAGCTGCAGGTGCTGGTGACACAGGCTGGTTTCCAGCAGGTGGTCCTGCAGCAGGTGGTCGTGCAGGGCTGGCAGCAGGGGGAGCAGCAGGAGTGGGTCATGGTGTCAGGTGTGGAGGGTGAGGTCCTGGTGGCAGGGGAGATTCTCAGGATGTGGGGACCTCTTCCCATCCAGGCCTTTTATACAGGAGCCTTCAAAGTTGTGACCAATCAGGAAGGCTTGTCTTTGTTGTTGTTTACATCATTTTCTAATTCTGTTTGGTATGGCAAGGAGGAAGTCATTGGCTAGGTGTTAGGAATCTTTTGAAAGTTAAGTGTTTAATCTGTGTCTTAATTGGCAGTAACTCATGGGGACTTTTGCAGATGAAAGGGCAGAGTCACATGGTCCGCACCCTTCCTGCTCTCCTGGTCCTCTGGGCCTGCGATAGCTCCTTTGGCCCTGGGGAGGGTCAGCTGCTTCTTCCTTTTAACTTCGTCCCCTTGGCTGCACTTAGGCTTGGCAGTGTCTCTGGGCACAGCGCTCTGGTGTTCACAGTGACAGGTGGGACCCCTGGTTCCACGTCTATTGCTGCAGATGCCTGGCTCGGGACTGGTGCGGGAATCTGCTTGTATTCCAGATCTGCCACCCATGAGTCCCTCGAGCACTGCTGGGAAGCAGAGCTTGGGTAAAATGCATCCCTTGTGGCAGAGCAGACCCAGAACAGGTGGGTAGAAGCAGACTGAGTCCTCTGGGACTTAGAAAAGTTCAGTCAACACCCTAGGCATCTCTGCCTCTGGTGCATAATTTTCCCAGATTGAGGAATTTCATGTACACAGGGGATATCCTCCTATCACTGGGAGAGATCTGGGAATACCAAGTCAGTGGCTCTCGTCTAAACTTTTCTGAGGCTTAACATTCATTCAAAAAGGGCTTAAGTTATTAGTTTCCAACTGGGTGCGTGGTTATAAAGTGAACAGATCCATGTCCCTGACCATGTGAAGGACTAGAATTGAACCCAACCTTTTGACTTATGAAATTGCAGTTCTCTTTAGGCTGTTGTAAAACTTTATATACGTAAAAGAGTATAGAATTGGCTGTGTTCTCTGCACCTGACTGTGAAATTCACCCAAGTATTTCATTTGTTCTTGTTGTTCTAATAATTTCTACCAAACAGAGATGACGTGGTTTATGAGGTGTGATCGAAAAGTACGGTGGATGTGTAAATTGGAAAGAGTTATTACAGTCAGAGGCAAATTGCTATTAGTGCTTCTGAACACTCTCCTCCCTCGCGTCAAACACATCCCACCGTCCCCGCCGCTTCGTGGAGCACTTCTGGAAATCCTCCTTCACGTACGTCTTCAGCTGGCCTTCCGTACTCAGTGTGGCGTCAGGGAGGAGCAGAGCGTCAGGTCTGTTGGTGAGGGGCCGAGGACGCCCCGGAATGGTTTTGCAAGCCTGCCTTACTGTTGGAGGGTACTGGGTAGCGGCGTTCCCCATATTTCTGCTCACATCTTGTAAAGACACAAAACGGGCTTTCAGAAGTGATTCCGTGAGAGGCAAAGAAGGGTGGGATCAGCCAGGTGTGGTGGCGCACGCCTGTCATCTCACCACTCGGGAGGCTGAGGCAGGAGGATCGCTGTGAGTTCGAGACCAGCCTGGGCTACGTAGTGAGTTCCAGGTCGGTCTCAACTACGTCGTGAGACCCTGTCTCAAACAACAACAACGGCAAAAGGATGGGATAAGTGTGTTTGAAGCAACCAGGGGTATTTTGAAGGGGATCAATGCAATGTGTCTTTTACTGTAATGCACTTAAAAATTTAAACATTTAGCATATCTTTTGATCACATTTCATATTTGCTTTCTCTACTCTTCGTAGGCATATGATTTGTTGGCAGCTTAGATGTTTTTGATACGGTGGGGACAACTAGAAATATTTCACATTTATGATACTTTCTTTCTGTTTCATAGATTATTTTTGCCCGAGTCACTAGGAGTTTTCTAGGCGATTCCATCTTGAGAAAGTGTGGAACTTTGTAACATTTTTTTCATCATGTATTTAGATGATGCTACGATTGTTTTACTTTTTTTCAGCAAATGTGATTCAAATGTTGATGAATGTGCCCCTGTTATGATAACCTTGTGTTTCTGGAAACAGTTGAATGTGGTTATGATCGTGTGCCTGTAGGGCCGCATTTGACTCGCTTACATCCTGGGCTGGGTGTATTTGCATGGCCGGAACCTAACCCGTTCTGACTGTACAACCTCCACCTTCTGTAATAAAGCTGGCTGCTGTGTGCCAGGATTGCCCACCACGGTCCAGCGCCGCCTTGCTGTGGCTGCCTGGGCTGGTGCTTGTGAGGAAGTCTCAGCCCATGCTAGCGTGCTAGGGCAGAGTGGGCTGTGCCGGGCAGCAGCAGAGAGAATACCTCACAGGAGGGAGCCCAGGGCAAAGCCTTTGTGCGAAGGCAGTGGTCTGGGTGTGGCTGGTCCCCCCAGGGTTGATGCCGGTCATTAGCCAGGACCCCTCGTGGGGCGGTGTGGAAGTGGGGAGGAGACTTTACGGAGTGGGGCGCAGAGGCTCCTCCTGCGCGGGCGGGTGGGGAGCAGCTCCAGGGAGTGGATCCCGGGTTTTGAGCGAAAGGGGTTGTTAGAAAGTTTGTCTTTCTTTGTGGTGTCTCCGTGTCTCATGCTTTTTCTCTTACTATGTGATCTTGGAAATCGCTTTCCTCTCCTCTTCTCTGTGGTATCGTGACCCAGCCAGGACCTCAGGAGATGCTGGTGCCGATGTCCTTTGTCCTTTGCAGCAATCGGAATCACAAGCCAGACAAACCTCTTTATACATCGCCTCGCCTCAAATCTTCTGTTACAGCAACACGGAGCTGACAGACTAAGACCCTCACCTAGGGAGGCAGAGCTGACATCAAGCAAACCTCATGCTAGCCTGGATGAGAATTTATAAAAACAAACGTGTGTTTCTTAGCTGGGCGTGTGGTGGTCAACTGGCGGTACGGATGGAGGGGCCCAGGCTCGGCGCGGGGAAGGGGGCCGCCTACCGTGAGTCCAGCGCCTGCCCAGCTGGGACATTCCACCCAGCATTCTAACCTTCTGACTCCCTACGCAGGGCTCACAGACGGACATACAGGTGCCACCTGACTTCCCTTTCGGGCATTTGTGCCAAGAAAGGATTTGTTACATAAAGTAGGAAAATTTCAGTTGGCACATTTATAACTGCACTTAATGAAAAGGCATATTTGTTTTCTAGGGGTGCTTACTGTGGGGGACCAGCCCCCACTAGTCGAATAGTATTTGAAGGAGAGAGTGAGGATTGAAAAGGAAAGACATTTTAGGTAGAGTGGAGACAAAAGACTGTCTGTTTTAATTGAGGCAAACCTGGTTATTTATATATATATTATTAGCACATTATCTTGTGTAGATATATAAGAAATATCTGTAGAAAGACATCACAAGAAAATGTTTAGACACCATAATATTTTATGATTTCTAAGGTCAAAAGTTATTCACATGTACTTTGGGCTGGAATGTGGCTTCATTAAGTTGATAGATTAGCTCCTTGTTAATCACTTCTAGTTTTCTGCATATTATTGTTAGGTGAGAGTTTCAGTTTCCCCACATTTTTTTTTATTTTAATTAAAAGAAAATAGAATTTTATTTTGTTTTTATAGATAGATTGTGTCTGTTTTAGGTGAGGATTATCAGATGAAATTTTTTATTCGTCATCAAGTAATGGGATATTTTTCTTTTTTATATTTTGTCTTAGGTTGAATATTTTTTTATGGTTCTCTTATCTGTTTTTGATTATCAGTCTTTGTTTAATAAGGAGGATCTTTTGAATGAAGATGGAGATCATGAATTTGATTAGTCATAGTAGTGATGGAAGAAATGAAAATTTTGGTCAAAATAGAAATGATCATATATCTAACATAAATTTTAATTTTAATTGTCAAAATGGGCCATAACAGTTTATATAAATGATTAAAAGATGGAAAAATATTTTTAAGATGATTTAAGAAATTTTTAGCAATTTGAGTTGTATCATATTTTAAAGAAGGGGAATTTTTTAAATTTAAAATTTTTTGATGTAATTGATGTAATTGAATAAGGTCAAGAGAAGTATTATAATTATTTTATATTTTTTGTAAATGTTTTTTTATCTGAGATCAATCATATTGTGTTTTATTATAAGATTTTTGAGTAATATAAATTTATTTATATATAGTATGATAAGAAAGATGAGATTGAATTTGTAAATTCTGAATTTTTTTTATAATATCAATTGTTTTATGAAGAGCATTTAATTTTTTTTTTAGTCTCTTATCTATATTATATTGGGTAACAAAAGTATGGGTAACATTTTGAGTGAGGGAATTAATAAATTGAGTTGTTTTTATTTTTTGGGTTAATGTTATAGTAGTCATAGTTGTTGAGGTTATAATAGTGATAAGAGTTATGATTTTAATAATAATCCATTTAATAAATCTTTTTTGTCTAGTTAAAGCCTTATTAATCATTTCAAGTATCTGTAATTCTTGTTTTTCATATCAGGTCTCATTAATGGATATAGGAATCACAATAAAGGGAGGTTGTCTTAAAACCATAAGAGATGAATTATTATTAGATATATTGGTGATATAGTTAGATAAAATATAATTTGAATAATTAACATTATATTTCTTATTGTTTTTATATATAATCTGTATATTTCCTATTAAAAGAATATATGGGGTATCGATATAGGATAAGATAGTTTTTTTTTGTTCTTTGGCTTGAGATAATATAGTATTTATGGTATTTTCTATGTTAGCAGTCCCTTTGTCAAAAATAGCAAAACTAAGGTTAGTGATTTTGATATCTGGCCATAAACGTATTTTTCCCAATGTAGCAGCAAGTTTTCAAATGTTCGTCTGAGGAAAACCTGTGTCTGTCCACCAAAGTCTAGCAGAAAGGCTAAGATAGTAGATGAACTCTCTGAGGTAGTATTGGTTAAAGACCAATTGAGGAATGTCCTTTTTGTCCTAGGAAAACTTTTCATCGTAGCAGTCCCATTTTCTTTATAACACCTTTTCCAAAATATAGTAACATTATTTTTTTGATTATCTTTCTGACAGGGATAAAGCAACTGAGGTGGTGT